TAATTTGGAAACTCTGGTTATGCAAACCATAGCCATTTCAGTTGAAAAAAAAAGGGGGGGGGAGAGGGGGAAAATCCCTTACTCAGTGTGCCCCCACTCTTGAGAGTCTGGGAACTTTTTTTCGGGGGGGGGGCAGGGGAGAGACACCCCTCATGGTCAGGCTGAGACAGATTCTCTTCCGGGTCGCAGACCTGAGTGAACCTGAGTTCCTGACAGCACTACTGGTTTGTCTGTTCCTGGGGGGGGAGCATTAGGACCCAGAATTGGGGGTGAAAGTGATGGATTCATGCTCCCTCCCTACCCCTCCCCATCCTATAGCCACAGCTCAGTTGTTGGGTGAAGAGAGGAGGATGGAGTCCACATGTACCCCAATATTAGGACAGAAGATTGTAGGTTCTCCCCCACCCACCCCAATTGTGGGCTTCAGGTGAGGACCAGCTTCGTGGATGCCAGGGGCTTGGGATGCTCAGAGACACAACCCACATTCTGGTTTCTGTGGCGGCCCCCCCCCCCCCCCCGCACCCCCCCATCCTGGCCCTAGGGACACTGATTGATTGATTGATTGGTTGATTGATAAATTATGCTAGTCCTGAGGCTTGAACTCAGGGCCCGGGCGCTGTCCCTGAGCTTTGCTGTGCAAGGCGAGTGCTCTACCACTTGAGACAGATCCACTGCCAGATATTTTTTTGGTGGTGGGGTCGTGGGTCTTGAACTCCGGGCCTGGGCGCCACCTCTGAGCTCTGGTGCTCAAGGCCAGCGCTCTACCCCTTGAGCCACAGCCTCCACTTCCCACCTTTTGTCAGTCTGTGGTTTGGTGGCTCGTTGAAAGTGAAGAGTCTCATGGACTTTCCTTCTCCAGCCTGGCTTTGAACTTGGATCCTCAGGTTTTGCTTAGGATGACGGGCGTGAGCCAGCAATGCAGGATGTGTGTGTGTGTATGTGTGTGTGTGTGCGTGTGCAGGGATCACACAGGCGAGGTGTGCAGACACATATACACACAGCCATGCAAACCCAGGAGGGGCAGATGGACAGACAGACAGACAGTCCTGGTCCTGCTCACACCCCCTCCCAGCACAGTCCAGAGGAGCTGCTGACCCCCCTTTCCCCCCCACACCCCCCCACGCCGGCCCCGGGCCCTCGGCGCGGCGCTCCCGTGTGCAGCCGCGCGGAGACCGCAGCGGGGCGGGCCGGGATGAACTCACGCCGCCGCCCCGGCCCTAACCGGCTCCAGATGCGGCGGCCGCGCGCGCGGGTGCGGGGCTGGGGCGGGGCGGGGCGCGGAGGGCGGCGGCGCGGCTGGCGGGCGCCCCCTGCGGGGCCCCCGTGGCCTGACACCGCGGAAGGCGCTGTCTGTCTGTCTGCCTGTCCATCTGTCTATATATCTGTGCATCTGTCTGTCTGTCTGTCCATCTATCTGTCATCTATCTGTCCATCTATGTACGTATGTCTGTGTCTATCCGTCTATCTGACCATGTCTGTCTGTCCATCTAACTCTCCAACTATCAGTGTATGTCTGTCCATCTATCTGCCTGTCCATCTATCTGTCATCTATCTGTCCATCTGCCTATGCATGTATGTATGTATGTCTATCAGTCTGTCTGTCCATCTGTCTCTCCAACTATTAGTGTATGTCTGTCCATCTATCTGTCATCTATCTGTCCATTTGTCTATGCATGTATGTATGTATGTATGCATGTGTCTGTCAATCCATCTATCTGACCATGTCTGTCTGTCCATCTATCTAGCTCTCCAACTATCAGTGTCTGTCTGTCCATCTATCTGTCCATCTGTCTATGCACGTATGTATGTATGTATGTGTCTGTCTGTCAATCCATCTATCTGACCATGTCTGTCTGTCCATCTATCTCTCCAACTATCAGTGTCTGTCTGTCCATCTATCTATTTATCTGTCCATCTATCTGTCCATCTGTCCACCCATCCATCCATCCTCCATCTATCTGTCTGTCTGTCCATCTACCTACCTATCTACTTAAAATTTTTATTTTTTGTGCTAGGACTGAGGCTTGAGCTCAGGGCCTGGGGTATCGTCCCTTGACAGTATTCACTTAGCCTCAAGGTTGGCTGCTCTGCCACTCAAGTAATATTTTATTGTATTTTTATATTTATGTTTATGATTTATTTAGGTGTCAATCATGAAGTTTGAACTCAGGACCTGGATACTGTCCCTGAGCATTTTTAAAAATTTATTTTGGCCGGGAGCCAGGCTCATGCCTGCCATTCTAGGAGTCTGAATTCTGAGTCAAAGCCAGCCTGGGCAGAAAAGTCCATGAGACTCTGATCTCCAATGACCCACCAATGAACCACCAGAAAACCGGAAGTGGCGCTGTGGTTCAAGTGGTAGAGAACTCTCCTTGAGCTGAAGAGCTCAGGGACAGCACCTAGGCTCAATGTTCAAGACCCACAACCCCAAAATACACACACACACACACACACACACACATACAAATGTGTGTGTTTTGCTCAAGGCTAGCCCTCTAACACTTGAGTCATATTTTATTATCTATCTATCATCTATTTATTTTTGCTCTGGTCCCAGGGCCTGGGCACTATCCTTTAGTTTTTTGTTTTTTTGCTGGTCTGGTCCTGGGGCTTGAAATCAGGGCCCAGGCCTGTCCCTGAGCCTCTTTGCGCTCAAGGTTAGCACTTTACCACTCTAGCCAGAGCACCACTTCTGGCTTTTACTGAGTAGTGTATTGGAGATAAGAGTCTCACAGACGTTCTTGCCCTTGTTGGCTTCGAACTGTGATCCTCAGATCTCAGCCTCCTGAGTAGCTAGGATGACTGGCATGAGTAACCAGAGCCTAGCCTATATTTTTATCTTTATTATTTTATTTAGATGTCAATCCTGGGATTTGAACTAAGGGCTTAGGTGCTGTCCTTAAGCATTTTCAGTCATATTTTATTATCTATTATTATTATTTATTATTATTATCCAGGGGCTTGAACTCAGAGCCTAGGCACTATACCTTAGCTTTTTAAAAAATTATTATGTAAGTGATGTACAGAGCAGTTACAGTTACATAAGTCTGGCAAAGAGTATATTTTCTTTGTGGACAATGTCACCCCTTTATCCCTTAGCTTTATTCATTTCAAAATTGGTGCTCTAACACTTGAGCTATATTTTATGTCAACTAATTAATTAATTAGGTGTTGGTCCTAGGGTTAAAAAACTCAAGACCTGGGCACTGTTCTTGAACTTTAGTTGCTCAAGATTGGTGTTCTACCACTTGAGCTATACTTTATTATTCATTTATTTATTTGAATGTTGGGCCTGGGGTTTGAACTCTGTGTTTGAGTGCTCTTAACCTTTTTTTTTTCTCTCCAGACTAGCACTGTAACACTTGAGCCATATTTGAGTTCATTAACTATTTGATTTGGGTACTGGTCCTGGGCCTTAAACTCACATTCTGGGAGCGGTCACTGAGTTCCTCTTGTTCAAGGCTAGCACTCTACCACTTGAGCTCAGCCCTTTTTCTCACAGACTTTCCTGCTCAGGCTGGCTTTGAACCTCAATCCTCAGATCTCAGCCTCCTGAGTAGCTAGGATGACAGGTGTGGGCCATGGGTGCCCAAGCAACTTGCTGCTGTTTCCTTAGGTCTGTCTAATGGAGCAGCTGGGGAGATCCGGATCCGGGTCCTAGCCTGGGCCTCTGTGGATGGGGGATCAACCTCACTTGCTGGGGTCTGGGAGTTTGGGGGTGTGCCCCCTGTGGCTTCCTGCAGTTCTGGAATAATGTAGTTTGTGCCTCCCGTCCTGGTCCCCGTGCTGGGGCCCTGCCTGTGAGCTCTTGTTCCTCTTGGAACAAAACACTCCAGCTTCTACTTCTACTGGGAAAGCAGTGGGGGCCTGACCACCGCCTGTTTTTAATAAGGAGCTGGTATTTCCCCGAAATCGCCAGCTCTGGCTGACCTCATGGGAGTGACGGCTTGGCTAGGTGCCAGGGGGAGAGTGTGGGGGGGTAGGAGGGAGAGGACCAGCTCCTGGGTGAACCCCTGATACTAGGCCTGGCAGAGACTTAAGCCAGGAGGGAGGGGAATGCTCTGGGTTCACAGTCCTAGTTACAGCCCAGTTGCTGGGGGTTCCAGAAATCTGTCCATTTCTTTGCCTACTGTGTGCACCCCTGGGCCAAGTAGCTGTGGCCTTTAGTCCAGGCTTCTGGATTCAAAGTTCTACTTTACTATCTCTTGTGGGATCTTCAGCACACTGCTACAAACACTCATCCTCACTGGAGATGGGGCCTTGGTTAAAGAGGGGGTGGCCAGGCGCTGGTGGCTCAAGCCTGTCACCCTAGCTACTCAGGAGGCTGAGATCTGAAGATTGCAGTTCAAAGCCAGCCTGGGCAGGAAAGTCCATGAGACTCTCACCTCTAATGAACCACCTGAAAACTGGAAGTGGTAGCGTACTAGACTTGAGCAAAAGAGCTCAGGGGCAGCGCCCAGGCCCTGAGTTCAAGTCCCACGATGGACAAAAAGAAAAAAAAAGAAAAAGAAACATCACAGGGCCCTCAGCAGACATTTATTCAGTTCCCATCTGATATCTCTAGTCCTGAACTGCATGCACCCAACTTGAGGGGCCCCCTGGAATGTGACCATGGGGACACCCTGGAAATGGAGGTGTCACTTTGGCTTGGCACAGGAGGCCTCTGGGTCAGCCACTCTGCTCCCACAGTTGGATGCGCTCTGGGATACAGAGGAACTTCCGTTAGTCCCAGACATGGTGCCAGGTGGGCAAGCACCGGACTTGGTACCCTGGCAGAAGCTGGCCACGGTGCCTTCTTTTCTTTCTCTCTCTCAGAGCCGTACCTAGCTGGCTGTGATCAGAGCCCAGGGGTCTCGCACTGTCCACTGCGGCTGCTCCATGGCGGGGCAGCCCATTGGAAGAAGAATATTGAGAAGGGAAGGGAGTTGGGAGGAAGGCCGAGCAGGAGACTCAGACACAGAATGGGAGTGAGGCTGGAGAGTTCCAGAGGTTCCCAGATGTCACAGAAGCAGAAGCAGCAGGAGCAAGAGGAGGAAGAGCATTGGATGAAGACAGGTAGCCAGGTTCACCACCGCTTTTACCCATTTGCTATAGAAGCCAAGATCAGTGTACACTCCCGGGTGGCCTTTCCTGGCACAGCCTATACCCCAGCTCACGATTCCCACCTGCAGCCACGTGTTATTCAACTCACAGGACATGGGGCCCCCAGAGTCACCCTAGAGAAAAAGAGGAGGAAACAAACAAATGTTAGGAAGGGGACCCGGAGGCCCCGCCCTGCCCACCCCAGGCTTCTTTGAATAGGAGAACCAGCCACAGGCCCATGGCATGGCTCATGCATGTCATCCAAGCCACTCAGGAGGCTGAGATCTGAGGATCTGAAGCCAGCCCCGGGCAGAAAAGTCTGTGAGGCTCTTATTGCCATGAAAATAACCAAAGAGAAGCTGGAAGTGGAGCTGTGGCTCAGGTGGTAGAGCAAAAAGCAGCCTAGGGACAGTGCCCAAGCCCTGAATTCAAGCCCCAGGACACACACATACACACACACACACACACACAGAGGCAAGTAGACTAAACCAACTCAGGGGAACTAGGAAGGTTTCTCCCCCAAATCATCAAGCAAGAGGTGATGGAGGAGGTAGTCACATGAGACAGAGAGAGCTCACCTGACAAGAATCCTTCATAGTTTCCAAATAGCCACAAAGCATGCCTTTCATGACTAGTGTTTTCTGAGATGACAAGGCCTTCTGCATCATCCGGTTACATTCCTCGTAATGAATCAGTTCCTGGTCCACCTCCTGGAGGACTTCTGACCGAGGTCCTGTCAATCATGCAGGAAGAGGATGAACAGGGTGGGTGGAGCTGCCCAGGTGGGCTGCAAGCTCCACCCCCAAAGCCACGCCCCTTCAAAGAAGGCCGACCAGAAAATTTGGTTTCCACTCCATACAGCTAAAATCCAAAGCCCAAAGTTGACATGGGTAAGGCAGGGTTAAGAGGCTGACAGAGGGGAAAAGGTGAAAGATAGGAAAAAGAATTATTTCCGAAGAGGGAAAGGGAGCTGGGTGACGGTGACTCAAGCCTGTATAATCCTAGCTAAGATTTGAAGATCCTGGTTCAAAGCCAGCCCAGGCAAGAAAGTCCATGAGACTCTTATCATCAGTGAAACACCAGAAAACTGGAAGTGGCGCTGTGGCTCCAAGTAGTAGAGCCCTAGCCTTGAGCAAAAGAGCTCAGGGACAGCACCCAGGCCCTGAGTTCAAGTCCCACGACTAACACACACCAAAAAGAAAACCAACCAACAGAATAACAATACCCACACCAGTCCAGGACACTTCACACAAGTGAGTCCAAAGAAGACTCATTTCTTCTTCCTGGCGGAAACAATTCCATTTCCCCCATCAACTATTTGTGCTGAAAGCAAACATTTCAACTCAGTTTTTCAGGGTGTGTGTGTGTGTGTGCGTGTGGCAAGTCAGCCAGGAATCAGGACTCTGACTGCAGCTAATTTGCTTCCTTTTCACCCACACCTGTCCAGCAATCTGTCTCCCTCCGTCCCTTCCCATTAGCTTTCCTAGCTACTCCAGGGTTCGGCTGCTTCTCCCTCAGGCAGCCCTGGAAATCTTACCACCTTCGCGGGTTTTGCCCCATCCGGTCACCCAACACCTAGTCCCAGCTTCCACCCTAAAAGCTTCTTCAGGGACACAGATCGGGTAGATGGTGGTGGTAAAGTTCACGGGGTGGAGGAGATGGAGGAGGGCCAGGTCGTTTACAACGCTTGAGGTCGTGGAGAAGTGAGGATGGATAATGATTCGGTGAATGGGAACCACCAGACTCCTTTTCGTTGGATAAATACTCCGATCTCCCATCTTGACCGTGTACTGGAACTGGCTGTAAGAAAGAGGACAACGCCCCTTCCACTCACGCCTAGGCCCTTTCCACCATTTTGGATGTTTCCCCAATGTGGTTCCAGCTTTCCTCTGCATGCTAGCTGCCCCACCTCTAACTATATATATTTGTGTGTGTGTGTGTGTGTGTGTGTGTGTGTGTGTGTGTGTGTGTGTGTGTGTGCATGTGCCATTACCAGGATTTTAACTCAGGGCTTGGGCTCTGTTCCTTTGCTTTTTTCACTCAAGACTGAAGCTCTACCATTTGAGACCCATCTCCACTTCTGGATTTTTTTTATTTTACTTTTACTGGTTAACTGGAGATAAGATGGGCTGGGAAGGTGGCTCAGTGGTAGAGTGCTTGCCTGGCATGCATGCAGCCCTGGGTTCGATTCCTCAGTACCAGAGACACAAAAAAAGCTGGAAGTGGTGCTGTGGCTCAAGGGGTAGAGTGCTAGCCTTGAGCAAAAGAAGCTCAGGGACAGTGCCCAGGTTCTGAGTTCAAGTCCCAAGACTGGCAAAAAAGAGAGAGAGAGAGAGAAAGTATCACTTACTTTCCTGCCCAGGCTGGTTTTGAACCTGCAATCCTCCAATCTCAGCCTCCTGAGCAGCTAAGGATTATAGGCACCAGCCACCTCAAAAGCCCTCCTTGATCTCTCCAAAAATGTTGCCTGTACCCCCTAAAGATTTCTAGTAACAAGATGACCAGAATCCTCTAGGTCCCTTCTCTTGTTGGTTCATTTGCCAACTTGCCAGACCAATGGTACTCTCTATCGTAAATGGAGAAGGGTGGGGCACACCTCCCCAGCCCTCCCTTGTCTACCTGCCCAGCCCTTACCTGAAAATACAGTGGGCTGCGGTGAGCACCCACTGGGCGGTGATGAGAGACCCTCCGCACACATGCGTGTTTCTGATCCGCACGCTCACCTGCCAGGGCCACTTGCCCTCTTCCGCGTCCATTCCTCCTACAATCTTTTGGAGGGGGCGGCCACATGCTGGGCCAGGACAGTAAAGAGAATCAGGTCTCAGGGGTGCCCTTGGCTCCCATCTCCAACCCTAGCTACTCAGGAGAGGCTGAGACCTAAGAATCAAGGTTGGAGGCCAGCCCCAGGGGCAGGAAATTTCCAAGAGACACTTTATCTCCAGTGATAAAGGAGGGGGGATGGGGGAGAGACAGAAATGGAGCTGTGGGGTCAAGTGGGAGAGAGCCAACCTTGAGCAAGAAAAAGAAAAGCAAAGCTAAGGGATAAGAGACAGCGACCAGTCCCTGAATTCAAGCCCCAGAACATCCACACCACACACACACGCACACACACATGCACACACACACGCACACACACATATGCCCAAATCATCAAGGCCTAAGGCTTTCTTGTGCTCCAAGGACATTCCAGAAGTTGGCCGTGTTCTCTTGAACCCCAAGCTTGACTCTGCTGTCTCTCTTGTACACACACACACTGGGAGCTGTTCCCCAGCCCCCCAGGTGGCCCCAGGTCCCCCCTGGCCGCCTCAACCCTCGCCTGACACCCCACGAGTCACCTGTGGGAAAGGACAGCTGGGGTGGTGTTTGACCAGCCCCAAACTGGGGGATCAGTGGGGAACTTGGCGCCCCTTTGGGTGGATGGTCCTCCTCGCCACTCCCTGAGGACACCTGGCTAAGTCTGGGCTGTAGGAAGAGCAGCAGCCCGGCCAGGAGGCCCAGGGAAGCGTCGCCATGGGCGGCCATGACACCTGCTTCCTCAGCCCTGGGCTTTGGCGCCACGCCGAGGTGGGCGGGACTCTGGCTCTGCGTACGCGATGGGCGGGGTTTCAGCTCCACGTGGGCAGTGAGTGGAGCTTCGGTGTAGGCGATGGGCGGGGCCAGTGTGCCACGTGGGTGACGTGGGAGGGTCTTCGGCTCCACGTGGCGGTGGGCGTGGCTTAGGCTCTACGTAGGCGATGGGTGGGACTTCAGGTCCGTGGGGGGAGCGGGCGGGAAACGGGCCGCACCTGCAGCAACAGCAGCGCCACCAGATTCCTTACCTGAGTGGACAGATGTCTTTTCTATCGTTTCCACACCCGGGGGGGAGAAGCCAGAGGAGAGAAGAAGGACCAAAAAAAGCCATCACCGGAGCGAATGGCCCCTGTCAGGTAACCATCCCCGACGGAGACCCCCGACTTCCGGTTGTCGGGCCGCACTTCCGGTGTGGTCGCCGTCGAGCCAGTCATGGCTGGGCCTCTCTGGGACTGACTTGGGGAGGCCCCCTCACTCCTCCAGAACGGGATTTCAAACAGATGAAGGCGGAGGAGGAGTTGTTTCTTCTCTGTCCAGGTCAGAAGACACAGCCATCCAAGAGCGTCTTCTTCCAGAGATGCCAGCGCTGCCCTGGGCCATGGGTTCTTCCCTGTCTTGGGGGAGTGGGACCTGCTGGAAGGCCCTCTTACAGGCGGAGTGAGCTGGGCACTGGTGGCGCACACCTACCAGGCATCCTAGCTGCTGGGGGGCTGGGATCTGAGGATCCTGGTTTGAAGCCAGCCCGGGGAAGGGAAGTCCACGATTCTTACCTCCACATTATCCACCCCAAAGCAGGAAGTGGAGCTGTGACTCAAATGATACCACACGAGCCTTGAGCGAAAGGAGCTAAAGGGACAAATGCCCAGGCCCCCTGACTCTTGAGTTTAAACCCCAGGAACTAGACGGATAGGAAGGGAGCTTAGCAAACAGGAGGCTGGAAGTTCAAAGCCTGGTAACACACACACACACACACACACACACACACACACACGGTTGAAATTTAAACCCACTGCCGGTCTTCAGATTTCCAGTACAGTATGCCATCAAATAAACCTCCTCATAGTTGTCCAGCTCACTTCTCAATAAACACAATCCACAGCAAAATTTTGTGGGAGAAATGCATACTTTTTAAGGAAAGTTATGTGGCTCAAAGTCCAAGAGATGACTTGTGAAGGTTTTGTGTTCCCGAATGAAGTCTACAGTTTTAACCAAGAATTTCTGTTTCTCACCTTTTCATCCGCTCCTGCCCCCCAAGGCTGGTTCAGCTACTCAACTAAATACTTTCTACCCAAATACAATGGAAAGCAAGCATTATTGCCTAGAAGTAGCTGAGAATTATCTCCAATGAATTAAATTATCAGGGGCTCACTTTTTCCCATGCAACCTCCTAGCATTTATGTAAGAGTTTTGATGAATCTGTTGTATATGAATATAAGATTTGAACTCAGGGCTTGGGCACTGTCTTGAGCTTTCTCTGCTCAAGGCTAGCACTCTACCACTTTGAGCCACAGCTCCAATTCCAGTTTTCTGATGGTTCGTGTAGGTAAGAGTCTCATGGACTTTCCTGTCTGGGTTGGCTTTGAACTGTGATTCTCAGATCTCAGCTTCCTGAGTAGCTACAGGTATAGACATGAACCACTGGCACCCGGCTGTTAATTCCATTTATGTTGAAATTCTGCAACCCAAAAGATCAGATAGAACATCTTTACTTCAAATTACATCAACCCTGCAGTTATAATTATGAAATTATTTCAAGGAAATTATAGATTTTTTAACCAAAGAAACTAAAATTTCAGATTGCTTTCTGTTCTTGAATTTTTTATTTATTTTTATTTGGTTTTTATTTTTGTGATGGAGCCAGAACTCAGGGCCTGGCCACTGTCCCTTATATTGTGTGTGTGTGTGTGTGTGTGTGTGTGTGTGTGTGTATGTGTGCGCTTGTTACAAGGTTTGAACTCAGGGCCTGGATGCTGTCCCTGAGCTCTTTAGCTCAAGGCTAGCACTCTACCACTTGAGCCACTGTGCTACTTCCAGTTTTCTGGTGGTTCACTGGAGATAAGAGTCTCTTTGACTCCTGTCTGGGCTGTCTTTGAATCTCGATCCTCAGATCTCAGCCTCCTGAGTAGCTAGGATTACAGGCTTGAGTTTCTGGCACCAGTTTCTTTAATGAATGATATTGGAAAACTGCATATCCACATGCAAATGAAGGAAATTAGAATTCAAGCTCCAGTACTGGAATGAAGGAAGAAAGGAAGGAAGAAAGATTGATTGGAGGTGTGGCTCAGTTGGTAGAACACCAGCCAATGAGTGAAATTGTCTGGTAGCAAGTTGGAGTCCTGATCTCTGACCTAAAACACACACACACAGATACACACCAAAAAAAAAACAAAAAAACAAAGAAAAGGAATGAGGGAGGGAGGGAGGAAGGAAGAAAGGAAGGAAGGACATTGTCAGGAGGGAGGGATGGAAGGTTAAGAGCTGGGGTAAAGCATGAGAGAAATGAGACCGACTGCTAATGGTTATAAAGTTTCTTTCTTGGGTGATGAACATGTTCTAAAAGTTATTGTGGTGATAGTTGCATAACTCTGTGAACACACCCAAACCATTGGAATGTGCCCTTGAAATGAGCGGATTGTGTGATATGTGAATTATATCCTCGTAGACCTACTTAAGAAAACACGCACACACATATACACACACACATACACACACACATTGCCCAGCATTCAAACCACAACTGTGAAGGGTACAACAAACAGTTCTCAGATGGGGGTGGAAGAAGCCAAATAGAAAATCTGAACCAAAGTATAAGTAAAATACAAGGAAGGATGGAGTTGATGCACAAAAATATTTTGTCTGTGTGTGTGCCAGTTCTGGGGCTTTGATGCTCAAGGCGAGCACTCTCGAGCTCCACTACGATCATTTTAGTGGTTAGAGATGAGATTCTCACAGACTTTCCTGCTGGGGCTGGCTTTGAACCATGATCCTCAGATCTCAGCCTCCTGAATAGCTAGCATTACAGGCGGGAGCCATCAGCTCCTGGCTTTTTCTTTTTTTAAATTAAAAACAGCGTAGTAAGAAAATTTTAAGGCAGGAAGTGTGGCTAATAAGGAGATCCTAAGTTCAAACCCTAGTGCCACTAGAAGGAGGAGGAAGAGGAGAAGGAAGGAAAGAAGAAAGGGAGGGAAGGAGGGAAGGGAGGGAGGGAAGGAAGGAAAAAAGCAAAAGGAAGGAGGGAAGGAAGGAGGACAGAAGGAATGAGGAAAGGGAGGAGAAAGAGAAGGAGGAGAGGGCTGGGAAGGTGGCTCAGTGGTAGAGCGCTTGCCTTGCATGCCCGAGGCACTGGGTTCGATTCCTCAGCACCACATAAGCAAAAAGAAAAAAGCCGGAAGTGGTGCTGTGGCTCAAGTGGTAGAGCGCTAGCCTTGAGCTGAAGAGCTGAGGGACAGCACCCAGGCCCAGAGTTCAGGCCCCACAACTGGACCCAAAAAAAAAAGGAGGAGAAAGGGAAGGAAAAGAAAGGAAAGGAAAGAAAAGAAATGGAAAGGAAGAAAATAAAATATCTAACTGAAAGGAATTATAATTCCCAAAGAAAAGGAGCTAAGGGAGGCTGGGAAGGTGGCTCAGTGGTAGAGCGCTTGCCTTGTGTGCATGAGGCCCTGGGTTCAGTTCCTCAGCACCACATAAGCAAAAAGAAACAAACGCCGGAAGTGGCGCTGTGGCTCAAGTGGTAGAGCGCTAGCCTTGAGCTGAAGAGCTGAGGGACAGCGCCCAGGCCCAGAGTTCAGACCCCACGACTGGACACCAGCCCCCCCCCAAAAAAAAAAAAAAGAAAAGAAAAGAAAAGGAGCTAAGGAAAATTCCCAAGCATTTACTAGGCATCTATTTGTTAAATATGAGAACACTCAAAGAGATAAGATTGTAAAAACACAAGATAGGAAAAGAAAAGAGAATGTCAGGCCTGTAAAGAAATAAAATTGAAGATCAAATGTTACTAAAGCTCTATAGAAACTGCAAATAACAGAATGCATTTAAAAATTTTCCAACTTATGATTTCCATCTTAAAAAGACTGAATATATAGTCAGAAGGAAAAGGAAGATTTGAGTAAGTTTGTTGCACCTAAACTAGCTAGGGGTTCATAGGGGTCTTTGGAATTGAGATATAATAAATATAAAAGGAAGTGTGTTTCAAATGCTAAATATGAGAACTTCCCAACAATGAAGAAAGAGTTTTGGTGGACACTGGTGGCTCCTGTCTGTAATCCCAACTACTTAGGAGGCTGAGATTTGAAGATCACAGTTCAAAGACAACCCAGGTGGGAAAAGTCTGTAAGACTCTTATCTCCAGGTAAGCAGAAAAAGGCTGGAAGTGAAAGAAATTTTTATGCCACATTTTCAGAAGGGATGGTACTAGGGGTTGAATTTAGGGCCTTCTTTTTTTTCTTTTGGTGGGTCATGGGGCTTGAACTCTGGGCCTGGGCACTGTCCCTCAGCTTTTTAGCTCAAGACAAAGGCTCTACCACTTGAGCCACAGCGCCACTTCTGGTTTTCTGGTGGTTCATTGGAAATAAGAGTCTCACTGCCTTTCCTGCCCAGGCTGGCTTTGAACCACGATCCTCTAGATCTCAGCCTCCTGAGTAGCTAGGATGACAAGCATGAGCCACCAGCGCCCAGCTAGGACCTTACCTCTTATATAGCCACTCTACCACTTGAACCATGCTCTCCTGTCTTTTTTGCTTTAGTTATTTTGGGGGGAAAGGTCTTGCACATTTTTTTACCCAGGATGGCTAAGGTTGTAAACTTCCTAGTTATACCTTTGGAGTAGCTGAAATTACAGGCGTACATTTTTAGCATGCCTAGCTATTGGTTAAGATGGGAGGTCTTGCTAATTTATTTATTTATTTTTGCCCAAGCTGATCTGGAACCTCAGTCCTCTTGATTTCTGCCTCCTGAATAACTGGAACTGGAGACATAATAAGCTATAACACCCAACCCTGTATGCCACATTAAAAAAACAAAAAAACAAAAAAACAAGTGTTGGTGTGGACATGAAGAAATCGGAAAGCTCTGTCTTGCTTATGGGAATGTAAAATGACACTCACTATGGAAAAGATTGCAGGCAGTTCCCGGAGAAATTAAAACATAGAATTACCAGATGATCCAATAGTTCCACTCCGAGGCATATATTCCGAAGAACTGAAAACAGGGATTCAAACTGGTAAGCCCATGTTGTGTGTATGTGTGTGTGTGTGTGTGTGTGTGTACTGGTACTGGGACTAGGGCTAGAGACTAGATCCCTTGGCTTTTTCACTCAAGGCTGGTGCTCTATCAATTGAACCATGGTTCCACTTCTGTCTTTTTGCTGGTTAATTGGAAATCAACACCATTTGGACTTTCCTGGCCGGACAGTCTTTGAATAGAGATCCTCGGATCT